CGATCAAACGGCTGACATCCTGACGAAGGCGCTCCCCTCCGTCAAGGTCAAACATTTTGCTGCCGCCCTTGGTCTCGCACCTGCTTGAGGGGGAGTGTTGGAGTGCGTACGGCGAGGCAAGCGTGGTGCGAGCCTCGGCCGTGTTTCGGGCGGACAAGTCTTGTCGCGCCGTTGACGCGCCTTGTCCCGCCTTGTCCCGCCTTGGCGGATTCACCCCGTTTTGTTTACGAATGCCACGTCTCACTCATCTTGTAGTATGGACGTCTTGTTACAAATGTGTACTTAACTCTTTCGATTCACGTTGGCTCACCTCAGTCCCGCGTATAACGCGTGCTGAGGTGAGCATATGCTTGTTACTTATTCTACGTACTCATACTGATTAATACGCTGTAGTTACATTGCTATAGGTATTACAATATACTAGTCCCGCGTATAACGCGTGCTGAGTTACATTGCTATAAAAGCCACATACGGACTTCGTTCTTCTCAGCACATGTCGAACTGCGCAACACGCAGAATTGTGCCACCATACAATATTCTGAGCTGGATCCCGGCCGCTCCACGACAGTCATACCGCAGTAACGAAGTCCTCTATACCAATATGTATCCTTTAGAGCATGAATATTGTAGTAATCCCGGCGTGTCGGGTCGAGACCCACTTTCTCCGGGGGTTCCACTAGGGGGGCTTGCAAGTGAGACCAGAGACCACAGAACACGTCGCCCACAGTCAGTTGGGCCATATCCTTGTCGTCTTCCCAGGGCCAGATGGCACACCTCAAGGAGCTGACATCCTCATCCTCCAAGCCCTCGATATACACCGAGATCGCATTCCATACTACCGGTGGGCGGTGCAACTTGGTCTCGTGGTGCGAGGCTTCAGGAACCGGCTCCACTGCAGGTTCATCCCAACCTAACGCGGGGTCTGTCAGATCCGACACATTGCGTGGGTCCTTGCCCATGTCCCACGGAAAGGGCGATATGAGAAGGTGATGGAGAGAGAGTTGTGCGTACGGCCCCTTGTAAGCCGACTCTGAAGCGCGGACTACAGTGTAGTCTGGTAGACTGATTTGTGTGGAGAGACCGAACGAATGCCCGGTGTGGTTGCTTCGCAGCTGCTGGCCAAGGACAGGAGAACGGCCAACGTCGTACGCGGGCCAGTCGTTCAGAGGCTAGTCTGGTGCGCGCGGCTGCGGCGCGTGTATTCGCAGGTTGTGGAACGAGGGTGCTGGAGAGCTACTTGCAGACCATACAGTATATCTCGGGAAGAGTGCTGATGGCACGGTCGATTTGGGTTCAGAGGGTCGGGACTGAGCAGGAACTTGAACGCCTGGAGGAATACCGTAGTTGTGGCACGATCTGAAGTCGGAAGTGTGACGCGGGAGCCTCTGCTGTCCAGGTCAGTGCGGTTATACGAGAACTATATATCGGTCATTTCTTGTGCCGTACGTCGAGACAAGGAGGCACAGAACAAGAAGTTGCGCCTCTTCGTTGTCGAGTCGTAACCGCAGGCGCCTCGTGCCACAATAGGCGGATATACTCGCGCGTGGCGCGCGGCCACAGCAGCTGAGAGGTGATCGTGAACACAGCTCTGTCACCTTCACGAGAACTTACTTCGGGGAACCCCGCCCTATACGACTAGCTCACCTGCTGATGAGGAGATGGTGACAATCACCTGATCGCGACAAATCGCGACTCCGCATTCTTCGAGGAAGTACTAACATCTGTCCGCATCAGGCTCAGCCTGTGATGAACAGACTCTATGATACAGATTAATGCCCCTCTGTACTCGACACTACACCAAGCTCCTCCAGGCAAGTCCTTGTCCTGACCACTATCGCACAGATTGCTGCCCCCGCGAGGCTAGCTAAAACCTCTACTGGACTCGGCTCTCCGCACAACCACCTCAAGAATAGGCGTGCGGCCGGCAGCCTGTGTAGCTATCCGGGGCCCATAAGTCTCTACGCTGGAGAAACGGACACCGGACAGAAAGTCGATCCTCCGCACCCGCAGCTTATCGCCTAGAGAGGAGGAGGAGGCTGCAGGCCCTCCCTCGGGTGACTGCCGGTTGGCGCTGCGAACAGCCTTCGACATCCATCCTGAAGGAATGCCTCGCCCCTCATCCGATTCCAGTCCTAGATCCTCCGTAAGACCTCTCCAGAGCCCGTATAGGAAATCCTTCACCGTGACAGGTTCGTTCTCAACTGGCCTGCAGGACACCCCACTCACGTACCCTGCAACGTAGTAGTGCCCGCGCGTGACTTGGATCGACACGACCAGCGCGCCATATTCTCCGAGAGGGGAAAACACCACGCGGATCGACGGGAACACGTGCCGACGCGGGGCGTCGCGCCCGAAAACCGTTTGCCATTCTGGCACCGCCGGCTCATCGAGCGCGGCCCTCAGTTCCGGCGCGCTCAGGTCAACGCCCGCTTCAGCAAATGGCCGAAAAGGGTCGTCCTGCGGGCTCCATCGGCTGGACGCCCTCAGTCGGGGTATCGCAAGCAGCAGCCGTTCGACGACTGGGTGGAGGTTGGGCGACTGGGACAACACGGACAGGGGGTAACGGGGTCCCGAATCCTCGTGGATGGGAACACGGTCGATCGCCGGGGCTGGCTGGCCATGGATGATGGGTTGCTGGGGTACAGAGGGTCTAACACCGCTGAAGAGAAAGTTCGGAGGGTGATGCGGACAGTACCCTGCGGCGCCCCAAGGCCAAGGGACCATGGCGGATGGGCCATACCCCGCCTCGGGCGGGGAGCGTGCCGGAGACCAGGAAGGGGTGTTGGTGAGTGGGACGGCTCGCGGATCGTGATAGTACCAATAGACGGGCTGCATGCTCCAAGGAAGAAAGGCGCGGGCGCGGGGCAAACAGAGGCGGAGGCGGGCGGTATGCGGCGTGACAGATGGCGACGACGCGGAAGGATATAGCATCGGTACATGTCTAGTAGACCGACCTCTTATAACCTTCGGGCTGCTGAGGATGACATGTCATCATACGGAAGACGGAGGGGCGGACACTCGCCTCTTCGTCGCTTCGTGGAAACGAGGCGAACGTACATGCGCCCCGCGCCACAGTAGGTGGATCCCCGGCATAGAACGCTCAGTCAGAGGGTCGGGGCTTCGAAGGAACGCACAGAAGAACACGGAGGGTGGTTGCGCAGTTTGAAGTCGGAGGTATGACGCGGGAGCTGCTGCTGTCCAGGTCAGTGGAGAGCATACATGTCGTATATCAGTGAGTTCCTGCACCGTACGTCTAGACGGAGAGGCACAGAATAGGTTGCGCCTCTTCGTCGTCGAGTCGAGACCGCAGGCGCCTCGGGCCACAATAGGCGGATATGCTCGCGTGTGAGGCTCACGGCGACCACAGAGGCGGTCGTGGAGAACCGGCTTTGTCACCTTCACGAGGAAGGAGGAAATACAATCCGAGGACGAGATCTTACTTTAGCGGTACCTGTCAAAACACTACCTCGCCACGGCACGCACAAGTCCGAAGGGGGCGCATACCGAGGGTGATACCGACCTATTCTCCTACTTGAAGCGTCTCTATGATATTTAGGATGTGGATAGATTAGGTGTTGGTGTGCGTGATTATTGAACACTAACGCACTACGCTGCTAGAGAGCTTTCTGGTGCGGCATCTAGCGTGGGTTGGGTCCGGAAGCGGTACGACGACATATTGCGGTGATTACAGCACTCACTTGGACTCGCCAACCCAAAGCTTGAGTTGCAGTGGACGCGTGAGTATCGATCCAGGGTTTGAGTGGCCATATGATTGTAATTGGACAAGTGAATCGTGCAGGATCTACACGCGAGCTTGAGAGGTTCAGTATGACGCTAAAACGAGAGCCGGACCCCGGGTTGGATCCAGCAGGAGAGTCAGGGGGCCCAGTCCTGCCCCCACATCTCCGGCCCGGCGGAGTCTGCCGGACTTGCTGGATCAGGCTCACAAGCGGAGTGCGAATCTGCATTGGCATCTCGGCGGGCAGTATGTACGCATTTCAGATCCACGGACGTCGAGAATGGCTGCAGATGCTTGTGACACCGAGCAGTAGTACCGCGCCCTATGCGACTAGCTGATGAGGAGATTGTGGCCATGGTCATCTGACCGTGACGAATCGCGTCCCTGCATTCTTTGCGGACTAATTAAGCCCTTTGGATACTCATACAGATATACGCTCCTCTACACTCGACATTACACCGAGTTCGTCCTGTCAAATCCTTGTCCTGATCCCTATCGCACAGGGTGGTGCGCCCGCGAGGCTAGCTTAAACCCCTACCTCACCCTCACTACCACCGTGACTGGCAGGGCGCACAAGAGTGGGGTTGGCAGTCTGTCTGGCTAATATGTCAACTGGACATTACATGCTGCGGCCGGCGGCAGGTATCGTGCCGCGCGCAAGATTTCCCCGAGTCGTTGGCACAGGGGTGCATATCATCATCACAGCAGACGAACTGGCAAGCCAAATTGACGTGATGATATGTCTTCCACTCGTCGAGTTGCTACTACAGATTTTGGAGAGACAACCCCAACTCGGACATGTCGAACGACCTGGGTAGTGGATCACTGGCATTACACGGAAGCAGCCCGACGATCCCACTGCGACCACGCGCGGCGGTGCACTCTACTACAAACGCAGGTATGCGCCCACCAAACGGGGGATTCTCCGTAAGTCCATAACAGCGGAGTAGCTGATGCCAGCGAACCGTGGACGATTTCCCAGGGAGTCCATGGGCAGATGCACACCCCGGCTGCCAGTGACTCCCGGGCGCCCACGCCCATCGTTGATGGGATGGGTCTATGAGAGCCAGATCCTGTAGAACATCTCTAGGACGGAGAGGGCATCCTGATGCCGAAGTTTCGTTATGAGCTCGATAGCCGTGTCGCACCCGGGTGGGATGATGTCAGCAAAGGGCAAGCCCTGCTCGTGTTGGATGACGCCCCACCAATCAGAGACCTTTTCAGCGCCGCTAAAGCACACCAGGAGGCGCTGGACTGGCCATCCTGGAATGGTATCGGCGCTGTTCGGGATATACCAGACGACCGGGGGGGGAGGGGGTGCAAGAACTCGTCGAGTGTGTTCAAGTCCCAGGTCCGCCAGAGTACTGCTAGGAGTGGATCATGCGTCAAGTCCCATTCGAACTTCCGTTTCTCATCCAGGTTCTCGAGACATTCGAGCAGACGATGAATTCTGTATTTTCTCTGAGGGAGAGGTCCACGGTACGGTACTACAATCCAGGGTGGCGGAAGGCGAGCCAAGTCCTCAGCCAATCCTGGTGCAATCCGCGGTGGCAAGCTTACAGGAGGCGGCAAGATGGGCAACTGCGTTGGAGACGACATGAAAAAAGGGGGTTGATGTATACGTAGATAGGACCGGATGATGGTATGGGGTTGAGGCCATCCTCGCAGAGGAGGATTCAGGAAGCGGCATCGTGGCGGAGCGTAGGGGTGGGCGCGACATGTTGGAAATGTGGAGGACATGGGCGCGAAGCACTTGCCTGATGTACGGGACCCTCGTCTTCCGTTGCTTAGGGCTACGACAAGGCCTGTATATTACCCGTGAGGCACGGATGAGGTAAATTATAAGCGTGGCGCCACGACGCTCTGTGCTACATACAACGGTAGCCCGTATTGAGGATGGTGTCCAACGGCATCCGCCGTCAAATCAACATTCCGCCACCGAGATCGTAATCAGTGTCTCAGTTGGCTAAGGACCAAAACCAGCCAACACTCACATATAAGAGCAGGGCACGATGGTGTCGAAAGCATCACCAAACCACCTCAATACTCCTCAGAGACCTCGACAGCGGACACTCACTGGTCGATACTCGCAAACACATCCGTACTCACCTCCTGAAAGCCTTCGTATCTCACAAATTGTGACAACATGTGCCGTCGTCTCCAGTACGTGGTAGCTCGTTGTACATCATGCGCGATGCACTGACCACTTGTCCCTGTGAACAGAGTCAGGATCTTCTACAAGTGGTTTGTCCTCCGATGTAAATAGGGCATAACACATACTCACGCATGTCAATCTCAGGTGCAACCATGGCGTCACTTACCCGGACGAGATCGTAAGTCGGCGTTGCCTGTGAGGAGCAGCTCAGCCCCGTAACCTTTGGAACAGGTCCAATGCTATGGAGATAATTGCATTTTTAGCCCCAACCACCCCCCGACCTGTACCGGGGATGCTTGCAAGAGGCGTTGCTGGCATTAGTGAGTCACCTGAGTCCTCGCATCGTGACGCAGCAGAGGCTGACCTTCGCCGATAGCCGACCGTTCCCGCAGCAGCACAGTAAGCTACCATTTGTTCTTGGTTTGAATGGGTCATTTATTCGGTTTCAAGGCTTAGAGAAGCAGGAGTACTGCCCTAACTGCGCAAATGCGTGAAGGCCGGATACCGCTGAGCTACACGAGCCGTCAGCTATCACTACGTGTGATTTCTCTTGCTTTCGCCTAGTATATAGCATGTATAATTCTGTCCGGCCGGACACCTTGATCATAGTGTTTTTGATTCTGCGCGCCATTCGAACATGCCTGACAATCTTCCCCTCGCTGATGAATCAACTTGGACGAAACCTGTAAGGAGCTGCCGAGGGACGAGCCGACTCTAAATAGCAATGAAAGCGTGGGGTTACATTGACCACACAGTAATAAAAAGAACTGCTCGAACTGTGTGAGACACGATAAATTGATGAACGGTGGCTGCAACACGCACGCATAGCGCTCAGTCCTCATCCTGGATATCATGTTTTCTCTTGAGCTCCGCGAGCTACTCCTCCCTCCTTGCGAGTTCCGCCTTCGCGGCGGCCGCGTCTTATTTGGACGGCATGTGGTACAGTACAACAAGTTCGTTCTTGCAAGTGGAAGATGTTCAGGTGGTGAAGAGTGTTCTTGGCCTAGGAGCGGATTAGTGGCCGCAGTAGGGATAGGGGCGCAAAATTCATCGATGGTTTAAGTCACTTACGTCCATGACATCGTCGAAAACTACGAAAATTGTACCCTTCGTTTTCTGCTTATTCCCTATCCGTATCTGCCGGATGCTCCCATAGCGTCCGGCAAGGCTAGCTGGAGGGCGAAGATTCAGGTACTGTCAAGATGTGCGGACCCATCGTCGTCAACCTCCTCCGCAACGTTGGGCTTAATATAAGTCAAGCCATTTCTTGGCCGTGCAATCGCGCGACCAGAGGCGGACTACACATGAGAGTATCCGCCCGGACACTTCGCCATCCTACCCACACATTACCCATACCAGCTAATTGCGGAGGATGAGGCCAGTACTTGAGCTGTCCTCTGCTGTGCTGACCTGGCGGAGGCGACGGGCAGGAAGTTGGGTTATCGGTGACAATCCGTAACATATTCCTCTCCGTGTAGTGTGCTTGGAACGCCTGGATGTTGTAATGCGCGAACCGCTCTCAACTGCATCTACATTCCAATGTCAGCAGCGTCACTAGAATCCGATCATACGAAGGACTCACAAATGCGCCGTCCGGCGACATTACAAGTATAGCGGTATTGCAGTCAACAGGTCCATAACGACTCGATGGAGAGCCGACGTCAAGAGTGCAGAGGTGGTAGACTCACCCTTGATACCCCTGGATCTGTGAAAAACCAAGGGGTAGATGACGAAGCGTATCGCTCCCCTCTTCATAAGTTCGTTGGAACGAGGCAGAGGTGTATGCGTCCCGAGCCACAACAGCTGAATGACCATACACAGAAGACCTCCAGCGCAAGGACAAGAGCGCGCATGTTCCATCAGTCTTTCGGTGGTCATGCCATGAGGGCCAAACATCCTTACGCACTTCCCGGTACTTAAGTTCGACACCAAAACGAGGCCAGACCCGGACCCCGGGTCGGACCCGGCCAGGAGAGTCAGGGGGGCCCCGTCTTGACCCACACATATCCGGTCCGGCGGAGTCTGCCAGACTCGCTGGCGTCCTCGGGCCTCAGCGGTCTCGATATTATTCACGCATTTTGCCAAGAACCCAAGACATCAGGCTAACAAGCGGAGTGCAAATCGGCATTGGCATCTCGGCGGATCGCATGTACACATTCAAGGCTTACAGACGTCGCAACGGCTGCAGATTCTTGCACAAAGTCATCCAGTAAGTACGGTCGATTCCATCCCCGAAGTTTTCGTCAGACTGATCTCACCTGTGGCAGTACCGACAAGATTCTGCGTCCGGTAGCTCAGCAGCCAGCTTCAAACTGAGCTGTTGACGGCTAGGTATTGGGCGCTCCACATTGGCTTGGCTTGTTTCCGTTTAATAGAGCAGCTGAGCCGGCTGGACAAGCCGGCTAGGCTTGGCAGCGGCAACCCCAGTGTACCTTCAGACGCACTCTCATCCCTTTGTCCTCCGATGAAGCGGCAACACAACATGCCGTGGTCGGTCGTTCTCAGCCCCGTGCGTAGTCCAGCGACCTCGCGTTCAGGCCCTGACTTAAGATCGATCGGCGTCTTCCTAGCTCATCCAATTTCCTATCACACGAGCAGTCTCCCTCGTCTCCCTCTCCCCAATGTATTCACTCGTCCATGTCATCCGCAAGCTACATCCCACTGACGCGAATCCCCCACTCAGAGTTCCTCTGGTCTCCGAAAGCTACCCCGCGATACTCTTTGGCATCTTACCTTGCGCGCCGTCGCGCCGTGTTCGCCCTCATAGTCGCCACGTCGTTTGTTACCCTCGTGCTTTTTCTCAATATCGCCGGCTCGCATGAAGAAGATGACTACAACTACAACGACGTTGGAGGTCCCGTCAACACTTCCTACCGACCGGGCTATCAACCGGGCTATATCGCGTTCCGCGTCCCAGATTCCCTCCCATCTTCCTCTCATCCAGTGCTCCACCCCGTTCGTGATCTTCCAAGTCACTGCCTCGATCAGTATTACTCGTCGGGAGGCGTCTGCCACGATGGCCTGGGCCCACTACCGTTAGATGTGATTTGGACCTGGGTTAACGGTTCAGACCCTCTCTTCATGGATGCGCGAGAGAACGCTGCCGAATCCTTCGGAAACACCGACCCTTACAGGCCGACTCAATCTAGTAACTCATCCCGCATGTTCCGGTATGTTGACCATTCTATTTACCAGGAACGATGTGCTTCACGCGACCATTGCAGCGATTACGACGAGCTTCGACATTCGCTCCGCTCTGTGCTCGCCAATTTCCGCCCTCATGCTCGACATTTCCGTATCCTAACTTCTGACTTCGACTATCCCGCCGACGAGTCGGGGACCTTCATTCAGTACTATCCTGATTCAGGTCTAGGAAACTGGAGGATAGGGTTGCATCCCCAGTGGCTCGACACTGCTGACCGAATTACTCCCGAGTGGCGAGACGGGAATATTCAGCTTTCCCTTACTCACCATGCTCATTTCTTCGAGCCATACAATCGCACGATATTCAATAGGTTCGTCTCCGTCGACTTGTGTTCGCATCGTTTTCTGTCCGGTTTTGAACGCGGTTCTAGCTACGCCATTGAGTCGCAATTCAGCCATCTGCAGAACATCTCGGAAGTTTTGTAGGTTATACCTGATTTGTTGCATTCGTCGTGCTCACCTGCAGCCCCATACCAGCCTTTACATGGTTAGCAAGCCACTTCCAGATTGTCGCTGCCGCTCTTCACCGCTATCTTACAGAATGACGACTTCTACATGTCAAGTCCTCTCACCCCTGTCACGTTCTACACGCAGCGTAAGTCTTTTTTGCGGCTGTTTGAGCATATGACGGATTTTGGTATCAGAGTATGGCCTGGTTTTACGCCTCCAGGGTGACATGACGGTGTCTCCAGATTGGCCAAGCACCAAGCGCAAAAGCGAATGGCGTAGCATGGGCGTTTCCAACTGGTTGCTCAGTGCGTATACACCATCAGTTTCTGTTTGGGTTACGTGCCTTTGACAGAACCTACCCAACATTCCAGGTAAACGTTTCGGCCGTAGACGTCGCCCTTATGTCCAGCACCAAGCCAAGTCCGTCTCATTCGCCATTCTTCAAGAGCTTGCGTTGGTATGGCCAGAAGCGATCGCGAAGACCGCTACGCATGCCTTCCGTGAAACGGAGGCGGGCGACGGTGATTACTACCAGATGTTCATGTTTGCCCATTATCTCGTGGAACGGTCTCGCGAGGCCTTGCTCTGGACATGGGTCGTCGGTCGTGTGGGCGGGATAGACGATAGCTGGGGGGAGCGCGAAGCAGAGCAGGCATGGATCGAGATTGGTGGATCCTCGGTTGGCGACGAAAGCAAGGAGGTACAGGTCGAGTCGGGGATACGACACACGCTGGCCATCGGTCGTGTTCGAGACTACCTAAGAGAAGGTGGGCTTATCGCCGATGATTCTAAGACTGAGTACCTTTTCTGTGAGTTTGTCCTCGATACACGTCGAATCCATTATTCTGACAACTTATGTGCCAGCCTCATTAGACGGGTACGCGTATAATGAGTACGGTCGGCGAGGTGTCGATGGCTGGCCTGGCTTCGACCCAGAAAAATATGACGAGGAAGATCGCAAGGGAACCGAGCGCAAGTGCACCATCCGGCGCAACGAATGTTTTGGTGGCCGCAGCCCCGGGAAGCCTCTCACTGCTAGTGCTGTGTTCCAAAATATCGCTTTCGATAAACCGCACTGTGGCGACTGTGGTAATTCCCTTTCAATCACGTCCATCGGCATTCCATGACCTTTCTCTCGCAGTCATTATTGCGCTAGTCAATGCGAGTGGTCGGCTCGGGCTCTCCGCGGTGCTACCGCCTCCCGACCGGCGTTCACCTCCATCCAACACAGAACTACCTACGGATGAATCCTTGACAATACCTCATCTACCCCTCGTGGATGACTGGCACGATGGTCAATTTGCGCTCCGCGATGTGATGAAGTACGCGCCTGACACCAGCGTCCGGCAGTGGTCCGAGCGAGTTATGCAGCGTTACCGATACGTCATTGGTGAGTTTGGTCTTCCTTCCAACCACCAGCTCTGCCCTATAGTACTACCTATTCCTGCGACTCAACCAAGACTATGCTGACGCACCACATGCCAGGTGGAACGCCGTCCGCTTTTGAGCAATTACTCACCCTGGAGCAGGTCGAGGCTATGCTTGCATATCTGGATCGACGACAGGATATCGCGCTACTGTGCATTAACGACGACGTCACGCAAGATGGTCCGCAAATTGCTAAGCATTTTCGAGACTGGCAATCCCGTCGATGGAATCGCGCCGCTGCTTGGGAGGCAGACGCTGGTCCCTGGTGAAGGGCGTCAGACTAACGACGCCTCAGCATATTCCTTGTGCTCTCGTCGTGCTGTGTAACTGCTCCCCATTGTATCATTATTGCGTCTCATTCCCTTTACTCTGACCTCACCCCTACCCCTAATGCGGGTTCGCCGAGCAAGCTTCTCCGGCGTGAACTCTCACCCATCCGCTGATGAACGTTCATTGTGCCGTGTGTGTTCATCACAGAAACGATCCGGCACCCGTTCTTTGGAGCATAGTCGGTGCTCTTCCACATGCAGCTTCATCAGCTGGCTCCATAGTACAAGTGAGTTCATGGCGTGATCGCAAATGTTACGTTACCCACCCGTATCTTCCCGTTCTGTAGTTGCTCCGGTAGATGTTCGAGCAGGCTCACGGCAGGGTTCCGAGATGCGCCAATAACAGACTGAGCGTAGCGCGAACCTTCTTCCAGTCCTACGGGGAATGCCGAGTGTGCGGTCCAGCACATGAGTCGCACCGAGGTCGAGCGAGGGACATTCGTGTTGCAAGGCAATGTTGTGCTAGCATACATCATTGAACGACTGTCTTCCTAAGAGATTCGCCTTCAGGTAGTAGTCTGCCAGGCGTAGGTATGAGAGCGCCAGTATGAGTACCGTACAGCTGCCTTAGATCGAGAGGGAATGTCGGCGTAAGTAAAATACGACGTGAACGACGAACAACCAACGAAGCTGACGTACGAGACTAGAGTTGGACCAGAGACGGCAGTTCATAGCGACGCCCAGGCATCTTCCTCTCCCAACTTCCTATTTCCCGGTTGCAACTCCGCCAACGCGGCTCCGAAACACCTCCCCTTCTTCCTCGGATGCCTCATCCAACGTCCCCCGCCGACAGAACGTCTTTCCACACACTCCGGCTATCCTTCTCCCTTGTAACTCGTATACTAGCACCTCTCTCACGACCTCCGTGGGCACCCCGTCCTCAATCGCGCACTCGGTCGGGAGCCCGGAGCACCCCCAGAGCGCAACGGCCGATCCGCGTTTGTGCCAGTGCGTGTTGGTGTGTCTCTGAAGGTCGGGCTAGTGATGGTAACGCTGGACATGCGGACAGTGGGGACATTTCCACCGGATCGTGCGCAGAGGAGGGGCAGGAGCAGAGGACGGGGGCGTTGCAGCGCCTTGGTGCAAGGAAGGTCTGGAGCGCGCTGGACGGCTTGAGGCGGATCTGAGTGTGATATGGGGAGGGAGTGAGGGGAGGGCCGATGGCGCATGCGCGTAGACCGGATAGGGAGAGATGAGCACAACTTTCGTTCAAAGCCGGGATGACGTTGTACTCGGAGAATGGAGGAGATTCGATGAGCATAGGTGCGACTCACAAAGCAGTTGCGAACCGCCGGATTCCTTGAACGCTGCGCAATGTGATATGGCCGAGGCGTCCCTAATGGAGCCAAAGTCGACATAGTCCGAGTCGTGTGATGGGTAGGGTCATGAGATGGGTTGTACACCGTGGCGTCAAAGGGACCCGCGGAAGTTGACGCAGTGGATGGATTTGTGGGCATGAAAGCATCCCTCAGATGTACATCGGTATACGAACCGTTGGAGTGAGACCTAGGGCGTCGCTTGAGGAACCGAGAGATACGTTACATCGACAGAAGGACTCACAAGCTTCTGTTCATCTCCAGCTCTGACCCTAGACTCGGAGTCGACTCCGCATTTGTAAACCGGGAGGTATCATGGTCACAAGCTGACAGCTGGAGCTTGAAGATCAGCGAAGTCATTCGCTAAGGAAGTAGCCACATAGCGGATTCATGGCGCCAGTGAGAGAGCGGGATGGGAAGGATCTGAGGGTATGATGAAGCCATTTTCGCTAAAACTGCTCCAGATTTTATCCTAGACAGGTGAGTGGGCTCTCCAGATCGTCGAGCAAGGGCAATGTGCCCCGGAAAGTGCGCTCTGGTGCAAGTGAGCGGGACGATAGCGCCAAGTCATGGCAGGTTGGATCAAACAAGCCACTGGAGATTGGCAGCGCCCGCTAGCCGATGTTCAGGACATGTGATAGAGACGCTCGCCGCTATATCGAGATTTGTCCGATTCCGATTATCTTGGCTGCATTATCATCTAAGCGACACGATTGCGATTGAATTTATGAGCCCGACATGGTCCTTCAGTGGTACAACGTCAAATCGTCCTTTCTGAGGTGCTTTCAGGCTGTAGGTTGGGGCAGGATAGATGGCAGGCCTATTAGGGTTACTGACATTCCGTTACGTTACTAAGTATAGCCGCATGCTGCGGGTGGGAACGTCAAACTTTATCGCCACTTTGTGCTGCTTGTCTTGAGCTGCTGGGCGTTAGGATGGGTGTCAGATGTAGAGCTATGAGGCAGCCCAGAATATGTCCGGATGGGAGGAGGAATGTGGTAAGGCTGATATTTCTCCTTTGCTAGTCGCTGACTTGCAGAGTGAGCTTTCTGAGCGGAAGAACGGCGTGTCAGAGCCATCGTGGTAGTGGACGATCAAGATGCCTTTTTTGGAAACCATTTCTTCCGGCTTGCGCGCTTAGGCTGTCCGCTGTCCTTGGTTGCCTCCATAGATTGTCTAATAGCATGGTCCATACCCTATTGCCTGCAAAACGAAATACACCAATCCATTTGTTTGCTTTGGGGGCTTGAAGTCTTTGGTATAGTTTTTTTAAGATGTGTTTTCATCAAAGTGCGCGCACTTTCGCCAAAATCTGGACCAAACATTTTCTTCGCTGCGTACATGAGTATTGTACACACGTTGTTTTGAGGTAATCGGACCAGCGGTTAGCGAGGAGAAGCAGATACAATGAGGGACCAGCTACGCAGGTGAGATCAAGAGCAGGAGCATGATAGCCGATGTTATCTCTTGGAGATGCTCGCCATCTGGTCTATGCGAGGACCTGGCGCTTGGACGCGCGCCTCATCGCTTAGGCCAGCGCTGCCAATCTCCAAAGCCACGCTGCAAGATCACGTACTTCTGGGCGTCCGAATCCTTTGGGTTTGCCACGCGCCGGTCCGTTTCCTCTGGGCCACGCGTCGGACACGCCTTTGCTTTTCACCACCGCGTGTTCTCCCTTCGAAGCGTCCGTCCTCAAGGCTTCCATATTGCTCTGCTTATCTCTGCGGGCCACTAGAGCGTAATGACACGCTTGCTGATGATGGAGCTTGTCACGGACGTTGGACAGACGCCCCTTTTTGCCGCCCATTCCCCTCCCTTTGACGCCCACCTTCCATTCGCGGACCATTTCCTTTTCTAGCCCATCCCAATTTGGACACTGTAGATACGTTCCCACAGCCGCATGCTACGTTCCCGTGATCGCCATGCCCTTGCCTTTTCTTTCTCGCCCTTTGTTCTCTCTTTGTCATCTTCACTGCCTCGCTCTCGCGCCTTGTCCTTGGTTGCTAAGCAGCCCCTCTAGTATATAAGGACCCCCTTAGGCGCTCCCTAGTCCCCATCTCGACCTCTTGGTCATTGGGACTAGGTGAGTGACCATAGCGTTGTACTTCCCTTCGAGTGCTAATGTATAACTTGGTCATTGGGACTAGTCTGTCGCTGTCTGCGTGAAGACTAGCTTTCGTAGGTCTCGTGCCTTCGTGCCGACCTCCGCTCTGCCCT